GTTCTACTCTGCGAGAACCTTGAGAAGTGCATGCTACTAGGAAAGAGGTTGTTTTAGAAAATATACAAGACCAGTTATTAAGAATTGGTAACAAGACTGCCAAGCCCTCTTTGGTTGTGAGGTGAGGTTGGAGGAGGCTTTAGGCCCAAAGTCTTCTGTCAAGTGGAGTGAGGCAGCTGCTTTAGGCTGCCCGCCCCAACCCTATCCACAACTCTGGCAGGAGGCGAGCAACAGGCAAGTGTTGGCATGGAATATTTTGTATCCGAGATAGCTAACAGTGGTCATTGTTATGTTTGCAAAGATCTTTTATGACTTGTGTAAGGAGCACCTAGGGGGTGCAGTATTTGATAAAACTTGATATTTATTTATTTATACAGTACATTGTATAGCATCTGCTTGTTTTTTCATGCCATTCTGATTCCTAATACTGTTTTTAATTTTACCTTCCTAATTTAGGCCTAGTCTGGGGGTGATGATTCCCAGTATCATTAACTGATAAGATATGAGGTGCTATCAAAAAGTTCCTGGACTGCTGTGAAAAAATGTTTACCTAGTCACCTAGCTGAATTTTTTTCCCCTTGAAGTACTCTCAAGTCCCTCTGCCACTTCTTGAAACATTTCTGGAACTCTCGCAGCCTACGATTTTGCTTGAATCTTCTCCATATTAACCCTTTGACTGTTTCGGCCGTATATATACGTCTTACGAGGTACAGTGTTTGATGTATATATGCTCGTAATTTCTAGCGGCTTCAAATCAAGCAGGAGAAAGCTGGTAGGCCCACATGTGAGAATGGGTCTGTGTAGTCAGTGTGCACCATATAAAAAAAAATCCTGGAGCACGCAGTGCATAATGAGAAAAAAAACTCCGACCATTTTTTTTAATTAAAATGCCAACTTTGTGGTCTATTTTCGTATAGTATTTATAGTTGTATTCTCGTTTTCTTGGTCTCATTTGATAGAATGGAAAACATGTTATAGAAATAGTGGTGATTTTGACTGGGTTTTATTATAAAAAGAACCTTGAAATGGAGCTCAAAGTAGGGGAAATGTTTGATTTTTGCCGATGTTCAAAAGTAAACAAATGATGTCATTGTCCAATAATGTCCAACTAGCCATTCTAATATGCAGTCAGGAATGGGTTGACATTATTTGTACAATTATTACAATATTGCAGTAGTCTGCATAACAGTAAATCTTCTATTTTTTGTTTGAATAAAAATTCAAAATAGAAAGCAAGAGTAATATCAGAGGGGCCTGGAGATGTGACTGATGAGCAAAGAAAATGTTATTTTAGAGCCAGCAATGTCTGCATTGTTCATTCTGGACCTTATTTTGAAATTGTCATATTTTTTAATTTTCGTGAAATTGGCCAAACTGAAAATTTCTGACCACGTTATTGGGTAGTTGAAATCGGTAAATGGACAGTTTCTTGTACTCGATCGATAGAAAAAATGGAGTTCTAAAGAAATAGCTATGAGTTTGGTCGACTGGAACAATGGAATTAGCCAAAAATAGGGCTCAAAGTGGGTGAAATCGATGATTTGTAAATATCGCCGAGGCCGCTAACTTCACGAGCATAATTCCGTCAATTTTCCATCAAATTTCATTTTTTTTTGTCATTACAATCGGGAATAGATTCTCTATCATTTCATAAGAATTTTTTTTTTTTTTTTTTTTTAATTTTGTGACACCAGGAGACACCTCAGGATTGGGGTTGCAACAGTCAAAGGGTTAAAACCCTGACCCTTGAGTAACATTTTTATTTTGGGGAAGAGAAAAGTTATGGTGGGGGGGGGGGGGGGGGGGGGGGGGCTGCCTCGTTTCTTGGCAAGAAAAATGTTTTTTCTGGTCTAGTCACAGTGAGGCATAAATTTCATAGCCACTCACTGCATTCTAATTTTCAGTCTTTCTTTGACACGACCCATAAGAAATTCCCACAGCACTTGCAGTATTTTAGATACTCTGACAATGATCTTCGTGAATAGCCTAACTATCAGTGTAGGCATTTTTTGACTTTTATGAATGACCAGAGCATTCATCATCCTCAACTGATGTTCATCCTACTTTGCATCTAGAAAATCACTTAAAACGATGATCCATTCTTCCGTCACCAAATGTTTGCCAGCACAGTTTGAAAGTTTCACTAGCCACTTTACAGAGCTTGAAACCAAATTTGAGGTGCGTGCACACCCACACCTGCTTGGCCCCCCCCCCTTTTTTTTTTTTTTAATATTCCATTCTGTTAAAAAAAAAAATTGAAACTGAAAACAGTACAGAAAATGCTTGTCTAACCTCAGCAGAATGATTCTGCATTGAAACTCGCCATGCTACTTTACAGAGGAGTGTACTGCACTGTGTGATCTACGTTACTGCCACATTTCACCCAGAAAACCCCTCTGAAAATTTGAGTCTGAACTTTTTGATAGCACATATGTAAAAGTTTATTAGCTCTCGCCCCCCCCCCCCATCCCCTTTTCATAGTCCACTTTTAAGCCACATAATACTAATTGCTCGTGTGACAGAAATATATAATTGTAGTATGCACTCTTTGAGACTTCAATTATATTAATGTAGAGTGCATTTGAAAGAATGCCACTGAGTAAATATCTGAATTTAATGTGGGTCTGTAGTTGTAAATGATGCAGTAGACTGAAAAGTTTCATCTTAATTTAAATCTTGAGAAAAAAATTGTGAAAGTTACAATTGTATATATTTCTTCACTGAGAAGAGCTTGTAGAATTTACCAAGGAATAAGTTTAAATAACCAGGGTGTAACCCGACAGATTGACCGGAGGATGGAGCGCGAGAGCAATCAGCTTGAGGCTGGGCCCATCCATTGTCGTATGGGTTGTGGGTTTTTTGGCTCCCCTAACACAGACGGGCTCTGCTCGAAGTGTTATAAGGATGCCCTAAAAAAGAAACAGCAACCACCTTCCACAGTGACGTCACCCACAACCTCCGTGGCCCCCACTTCAGCCTCTCCGTCACTCCCTACATCTACCCTTCACCAGGCTGCAACCGTCGCTACAACCACTGGCCAGCCTACTGTGCCCACACTCACACAGGTGGGTTTAGGAGGCACACTGTTGCTCATACCTGATTTTGCAATTTTTTTTCAAAATGGTTTGTTTGTGAAGACATTTAAAGAAATATATGAAATTGTAACATCACACAAGTCATGATAATACTGTACATGTACAGTACTTACATTAATGGATAATTTCTTGTAAATGTGGAGGTTAATTGGGTTTAGGAAATTTGAAAAGTGATATGGACCAATTCATTTTTGTTATGTTGAACCCTTCACATTGATAAGGACTAAAATTATATATAATATACCCTTTATTACATTATGCTAATTTCATTTGAATTTTCATTATTAGCTATTCTCAAATAGTGCAGACTGACCTGTAAAATTAGATTGTTTACTGTGAAGTGTTGCTAGTTAACATGTTGCAAACTGCTTCTATCATAATGTATTGTGGATTCATTGGTGATTACCTGTTTATCTACAGGGGCATGTAGATGTTTTAACAAGACCAGTTTAAAGTTGGTGTACTACATTTGGTATAGCTGTACTACAAAATTTTTATTAGTAAAACTTAAGAGCTAATATGTGTAATGAGAATTTTCTAGCCAATCTAGTATCTGCACTGCCTACAAATACTTGCATCAGATAGTCTTTTTGAGTAATATTTTAGTACATATTCAATTTAGATTGATACATAAGATAAGCTTGCCTTTTAAATTTTAGTCTAATTAATAATCTTTTATTTTTCTTTGGAATGTAGGTGGCAGGCGTCCCAGGGTCTTCAGAAAAGCGGGAATCCTCAGAGGATGCGGGAGCATCTGGCACAGACAGTGTGGATGCAGACCTTGATGGTGGCAGCCCGGACAAAGATGGAGCCAAGAAAAAGAAGAACAAGTGCCAGATGTGTAAGAAGAAGGTTGGACTCACAGGTAATGATAAAAAAATTGTTAATGTCACTCTGGTAAATTAATAAATTCAGTATATTGCTATTTTTATTGCCTTTGTAGTATTAATGCACTATAGTTATTGTTCCATGGTAACAACCCATAGTGCCATGTTCAGTACCTGATGATTCACCATTATAATTTTGGTTTTAGCAATTTGCAAAGATTACCTTTTATTACTACGAATTTCAGTTATAGAAAGTGCTGGTTTAAAATATTTGTTAGCAAGCAAGGTCAGCCTTCATCTGCCACTGCATAGTAGTCTTCCAGTCCTAAAATAGAGACTTGTAACTGATGCTGAGCTCATTAATTAGGTGGGTCATATATTCAAAGAAGCATAAACACTGATAAGTTGCATAGATGAGTTCATATAGACAATAACGTGCTAATGTATTGCTATTTTGTTCTTTTTGTCATGGTGAAAAATGGTTAATGTATTAAAAAAAAGGGGGGAAGGGTATTAAGGGACAAGTTAATGGATGAGGAATTTTTAGAATGTAAAAATTATATAAAGCCATACTATTGGAGAGGGAAGGATTAAGGATAGAAAGTCTATGAGCAAATTTCAGAGAATATAGAGCAGTGTTAGAGAAATAAAAGCTTTGTAAGCAGTTAATTTTAGTTGGTGAGAAATGGTATTAAATACCGACACAATGCAGTCCTATATTGACATCCTTTTGTGACTTGATAAAACCCACTGTTTGGGTGGAACAATGTCAGTAAAGCATCACATTAAACTGCATTTGTCTTTATCCATCATTAGATGGAGGTGTTGGGAAGATGGAGAATATTCACTAACCACTGAGGGAGAAAAGTGGCAAGTACAATCCAATGCTCTAATCTTCAGAACACTTGTGACTCGGCTTGCTCTTGGCTTTTTCATGTTGGCTGTTTCTTACCCTCACCTGATCTGACTTCTCAGCCTTAACTTGATGATGGTCAAGGATGAACAGTGTCTAAAGATTTATTGCATCTCCAGTTTGTAGCCTATACATATTTGGAATTGATAAATATTGGAAGAGGTGGCAATTTCATGGTATTTTGCCTGAGAAAAATCTCTCCTAATGTGGGTTTATCAGATGACCAATTTGGTGACTGAGCACTTGATGACACCAGCTTAATGTTAAAGCAACTGATGCCATACAGGTTCTAGGTGCATCATTAGTATTTAGGCAACAAATAGTGTACCAATCTTCAGTATCAGTGATGAGGCAACTACTGAATTACTAGCTCTACAACCCTCTATTAATGCTGAGGGAACCCTACATGCACTAAGATTTTTATTTGTGGGGTGGGGAAGACTTAAGTGTGGAGGAAGTGGTTGCAGCAATAGTCAAGTTGACTAAGGAGTGTAGTGGTAATAGATGCAATTAACAGATGCTGCAAACAGGTAGGGATATAGTTTTGGATTGGTAATTTTATTGGTTCCAACATTCTCATGGAAGGGAAGGCACAGCACATTCCTAAGGATTGGAAGAGCACTTGTAGTTCCTTTGTATAAGGTGAATGGGAATAATGTGAATTGTAGGGGAATCTGTTGCACTGTAGAATTATAAAACTTACAGAAAAGACAGTAAGATTGCAGAGGAAAGTGATGCATGAACAAAGTAAGGAACTTGTTGCAGTTTTGTGAAAAATAAGGGTGGCTATGGAAATGTTGCAGGTTTATAGAAGTTGTTAAAAGCTTAATAAGTCTGTATTGGATTTATGTAGAAGTTTTTAAAGTAAAATTAGGACATAATTAAACAGTGATGTATGGTTTAACCATGGTGGTTTAATGTACCTACTTAATAAGTGGTGGTTGCTAAAGACTGCTGTAGCATTAGGAAGAGATCAGAGCTTAACAGGTAATGAATCTGATATGAAGTGAGAGCTGTCAGTTGCTATTAATTGATGACTGCTTTCTGGAGACTTGAGGTTCAAAGTTGGTGGAGGATTGTTAGAGGATGTCTAAAAGTTGAAAAGAATGCAAAAAAACAAGGTGAACAAAGTACCAGTAAAATGTCCAGCCAATGAATGAATGTATGAGTGGAGAGGGGGGAAAAAGTTTAAAATGAATGCATAAGTATTCGAGTGGGCAGATGGATGACAGGTGAATCATAGCTTAGAGGAGGCAAGCAAAAAGTTTGATATGTTGAATCTGGAGTCATTGCAGTATAATGTATAGTGGTGCTAACACCCTGCTGCAGCTACAGGAGGATTAGGTGGTGGAGATGGTGTTTGGTACCTGTGGTGCAGATATCTTGTAGCAAATGGAGAAATTAGGTGTGGTATGAAATGTGTAATTCTGAAAAGGTTGGAGGGAGAATTGAGTCATTCACAAAGGATGAAGCAGGATAGTTTGACAAAGGTGTAGGAAACCTCCCAGGAAGAGTTAGGAGGAGCGAAGGAGGGACTTGAGCATCCAGCAGGCCCTTTTAAAGTGTTAGATCAAAGTTAGGGGAGAACTTTTTTACATTCAAAAAGGAGTGAGCTACTATGAAGGAATTATGGGAAAACTGGTAAGCCAAACCAGAGTTCTGCGATACCTGCATGCTAAAATGGGCGAGGATGTAGTTTGGCGAATCATTTGAATTATGATGTTGCACTTCTGGAAAGACGGTAAATAAGGGCGAGTGTCTCCTTTGGAATCTCCTTTCCTTAGAGGGGAAATAGATGTACACATTTTATACAGTATAGTACATATATCTTTATGGCACTAATTTAAATTCTTTCAGGGTTTACATGCAGGTGTGAAGGTCTCTTCTGTTCAGTGCATCGCTATAGCAACGAACACCGCTGCACATTTGATTATCGTGAACATGGAGCAGAAGAGATAAGGCGGAACAACCCAGTTATCAAGGGCGAAAAGATTCAAAAGATATGAAGACATCGTTAGAAGGCCAACAGTTGAGCCCCACCTCACCCCAGCTTAGGTCGCAAAACATGAAGGAAGAAGGGATAGAGAAAAAAAAAAAGGGTTTTAAGATGTGAACAATAAACTATTTCTGGTCAAGATTTAAAAAAAAAAAGTTTAGATTTTTTAACATTTTCATCTATGAATATATTTGGAAATAGTAATATTTGTATACTGGGGTTATTGTACTGTTTTGGCAGTGATCATGCTGGAATTTTGAGTTGTGTTGGTTGGCTCTGCTGTGTTGTGTATTTGTGTCTGCGTGGGGGGCTGTAGAAACTGTTGTTGCTGGAGGTCCCGCCACTTGTGTCTAGCATTACCTCATCATGTCACCACCGTCATTCGTTCATTTCATTAATTTCATGTTAATCACTCGCGTATATCACCTGCAGCCCATTCATCAAGCATCATTTTTCATTCAGCATCATCTCATCATGTCGTCTAGTATGTAGGGAAAACTTACCTAACGGATGCCTTGGCACAAGGTCTTGTTGGGCAAAACTCAAACTGCGTCCTTGAAAAAATAAATGTGGCGTTCCTTGAAGGGCAGATCCACTCCATGAAGTGTACTTGTTTAAGTTAACTTGAAAAGGAGGGGGAAAAAACTTTACTCGTGTGACAAATTTGACGCCCACTTCTGACCCTCATGGGCACTTGCTGTGCATATCTTTGATCTGGACATCGCTGTCCTGGGTCAACAGATGGCCTTACTATTCTCAACCACGCCGCCATCTCTTCACTTACAACCTGGGCAAATCTTGGAAATGAAGCCATGCTCAGGCTGGTAACAAGTTAGTGAACTTGACGCAGCCTTCAACAAGTCTGTTGGCCCAGTTGAAGTGATGCCTTAATGTAAGTGACATGTGAGCCAAGGATTCATTGATCCCATGTTATTATGCACTTGGACTTAACATATAGATGGGCTTTAATGCCTTTTGTACCAAGCGTATTAAATTAATTATTACTGCAACATTTGTAGTGGCTGAGAAATGAATAAAAACTGGGGTAGCCTTGTTTGTGTGTGTGTATGAATGATAACTTACCTCTAGGGCAATTGTGTTAGCATGTGTGCTATTACTCTTATTATAACTTCAAATGTAAAAAACTGCTCACTTACCACTTGGGATTCTTATGGGGAAAAATGCCTCTTGTAGGAACTTGTCCTTACATCAGTGTCTTTATATTGAATGAGCTGTGGGTTTATTTGTTTACGATCCTCATTACAGGCTCTGTGCATCATTATCTTACACTTGATATGCACCTCAAACTGGAGTGAAATTTGATTTTATAAAAGTGTTTCTCTGTGTTTTTATTGCCGTAGTTGGTGCTTATACAGAGTAGATGATGTATTGAAGATCAGTTTTTAATGAAAATAAAGGTAACTGGCAAGCTCCTTACAAATGTTGTTGTGATGCCCTATGAAAGCCACGCCATGTTTGCTCCTTCCATTTTAGTGTTTAGTTTTATGCCAGTCCATTGGCATCTTGTTTGTGAGGAGTTTGTTTCTTTGCTTTATAACTATTCCCTCTTGATTACCATTATCAATAGTCATTGTTACTATATACGATTTGTAGTCAAATATGTCCTGGTGTACCCAAATAAAAGGGTACAGCTAACTAAATTTCTGTGTTAATTGTTTCCTACTTTCATTTTTATGTGAATAAAGTTTAATGACTTGGAAGTGTTCCTGTAGGGTCTGAGTTCTGTCCCCCTTCAGAGATGCTTTCATGCTGGTGAATGGCTTGTGGTGAAAGGAATAGGAGCTACCCTTCCCTTGGATCCAACCTGATCTTCCATCACCCAAGCACTATAGACTAGCACTTTCTGGTAAATATAATGTGACTTGACTTACCTTTGGACATGTTCACACACTTCCTTCTACCACCTGACTTGCCATTACTGTACAGTGCTGAACTTCTTGCACAGGTTTAGCTTTTCTTTAGTATAAAAATGGGTTACATTGTGCTGTCTGAAAGATGTCGGACATAATTTGACCTGTTAACTGGGAGAACATAAATCTAGAGGAGGCTCAATGTGTCCAATGAAAATAAATGCAAAAATTTCAGTCACCCGCTGCAGTTTCGATGCTTCGGCTCGACTGTCCTACCACTTTGTCACACCCAGGAAAAAGTCTGGTCACCTGGGTTTATACACTACATCAACAGGTTGACAGGTCACACTGCATCTATGCAAGTTTGTTTTAATTTAGGTTTGTGTATTTGGCATAATTATTTTTTGCAATGGTCTGGGGGGGAGGGTTACTTGGAATGGGTATGAAAGTAAATTATGTAGATTTAACCTAATAAAGTAAAACAATGTAACTTGCCTCAAAGTTTCAAGAGAATTACACCTTGAAACTATTATATTTAATTTCCTTCTACAACTGTGTTTAGAAAGAGACCAATCAAAGATATATAGAAATAATTATATGTACCATTTATATTCCATGTTGGGGTATGTCAGGCTAAGCTCACATACCTTGCAGTTTAGTGCTTTTGATTACAATAAATATGCTCGCATATCTTTCAACACTTTTTAAACTAAATGTACATAGTATTAGACACTGAGAATCTCCTATATGTAGTAGAAATAAGAATTCAGTGTTGAGAAATGATCCCCTAGCCAAAAAGACAGTGGGAGGATTTTCAGTGGGGAAGAGTAAATGGGGTAAACTTCTACTCTTATGCAGAGCTACGTTGTTGACATTGCCACTCGCATATTCCTAAATTTTAAGCATAGCTCCCTCAGATATGATGTAAGTGGTAAATTTTGGCTTAGGCATGGAAAGAATGGGTATTTGCAGTGAATGTGCATGGTATTAAGGAAAAAAATCCTGTCCCACATAGTGCATGCAGAAAACAAACCCTCTGATATTGACTGGTTAAGAGCAACTGCGTTTTCTAGGGTACTTTTCATGGTTTTAGTGGCTTTCCACCTCATTTTCCCTTCCCTGTCTCTGTACCTGGTTCTCCCCCTCTCACTGGCTCTGTTACAAGTGTAGAGGTTCACCCTCCTCCTCGTACTGTACCTTCCTCCCCTGTTCCTTCCCAAGTTTCTCCTCTTCTGCCACCTCCCAGGTTTCTGCCTCTTCTGTCCCCTTCCATGCTTCTCCAGTTCCCTCCACCCTTTTGCCCCCCCCCCCCACCTTGGTACAGTCCATTACAGTTCCAATCTTTACTTGTCCTCCCCCTACCATTTCCAATATTGTCTCGCATACGACATCTCTGAATTCTGAAACACTTGAAGCAATCTCTGAATATATTGCAGAGACCAAACCATCAATGGACACTGATCCACCCTCCACTCCTTCTCTCTCCTTTACTCCATCTGCGCAACTCCTTTCTTCACAGCGCACCGTTCCTTCGCTGCTTGAACGTTTTCCACTGCCTCCGCATGTGGACTTTTCTAACCCCTCTAGTCCGTAGGAACCCTTACTGCGATTTCAGGTATCTTTATCATTGCCAATCATGGCCTATTTACAGTGGAATATACGCGGCATCAGGGGTAATTGGGGTGAGCTTCAGATGTTACTCTCCCAGTTTTCCCCTGTTGGTGTTTGCTTACAGGAACCAAAATTACACTCTGCTGTTATCTCTCCCATCTCAGGCTATAATTTATTGTATTCTTCAGATCCTTTTCCTGATGGACCTTTAATGAAGTGCCCTTCTTCTATGCACTGATATTCCGTACCATCAGCTATTTGTTCGTACTTCGCTGCATTACACAGCAGCCCGTATCCACTTGCATAGGTGGTATATGCTCTGTTCTTTATATCTCTCTCCTTCTCGGGCATTATCTATTCCGGATATTGCCTTTCTTGTTTCGTCATTACCACCACCGATTCTGTTACTTGGTGATTTAATGCCCACCATTTCCTCCGGGGGGGGGGGAGGGGTCTCGCTGTATTCCCGTTGGCATTCAGTTAGAGGCTTTTCTTGCCACCCACCCCCTCCATGTTTTTAAATACAGGTACTCCACCCATTTTGATCCTCGGACTCGCACTCTCTCTTGCATCGATCTCTCAGTCTGCTCTTCCTCCCCGCATTAGACTTCACTTGGTCTGTTCTTCCGGACTTGCATGACAGCGATCATTTCCCAATCATTCTTACTTCCCCTTCATATTCACCACCTCTTCGCATCCCATGCTGGCAATTTGATCAGGCAAATTGGAACCTTTACTCACACCTAACTGTTTTTAGAGAGGTTCCTTCTTCGTCCTCCATCGATGAGCTTTTACACCTCTTCTCGTCTTCTGTTTTAACCGCAGCTTCTCATTCTATACCCCAAACTTGGGCAGGCCTTCTCAGAAATGCGTGCCTTGGTGGTCTCCTGCTTGTGCTCGTGCAGTACGTTTGAAACGCGCTGCATGAGGCAGGTACCGGTACAATAGAACCACAGAGAGACTTCTTGATTTTAAGGAGAAGCGTGCGATCGCTCGCCATGTCATCCGTGACTCTAAACGCACTTGCTGGCGAGATTGTCTCCACCATCACCTCTGCTTCCTCTATGAGTGCAGTCTGGAAAAAAGTACGAAAACTGAGTGGTAAATATTCTCCTGACCCGGCTCCTGTTCTGCGGGTTGCTGGTGTTGATATAGCAAACCCACTAGATGTTGCCAATGAAATTGGCAATCATCTTGTCCGTATTTCTCAGGGACTCCATCTATGCCCCTCATTTCTTTCCTCAAAGTCTGCTAGAGAGTTAGCACCCTTGGACTTTTCTTCTCTCAGAGAAGAACAGTATAATGTGCCTTTTACACTTCAAGAACTGGAGGCAACACTCTCAGCTTGCCGATCATTGGCAGCTGGGCCCGACGACATTCATATTCGTATGCTACAACATTTACATCAGTCAGCCCTTGCAGTCCTATTACGCCTTTACAATCTTATTTGGTCACAAGGAGTTCTTCCACAGCTGTGGAAATGCGCCATTGTTCTCCCTTTCCGCAAACCAGGCACTACGGGACGTGAAACCTCCCACTATCGTCCCATTGCTCTTACCAGTGCAGTTTGCAAAGTGATGGAATGCCTAGTAAATAGACGTTTAGTGTGGTATTTAGAGACACACAACACACTCCTCTCGTCAATATGGCTTTCGTAAGGGACGTTCTACCATAGACCCCTTACTACGCTTGGATACGTATATTTGTAATGCCTTTGCGAATAACCACTCGGTTATTGCCATATTTTTTGACCTTGAGAAGGCATATGACACAACTTGGAGGTATAATATTTTAGCCCAAGTCCACTCCTTAGGCCTTCGAGGCAATCTACCATCCTTCCTTAAGAACTTTTTAACTGACAGGCATTTCCATGTTCGGGTTAATAATGTGCTCTCCCCGGACTTTATCCAAGCTGAAGGTGTCCCCCAGGGATGTTCTGAGCACAACACTTTTTCTCCTTGCTATTAATGATTTGGCCTCTAGTCTTCCATCAAATACATATTTGGTCATCACTCTATGTTGATGACTTCGCTATTGCCTGTGCAGGCGCTGACTGTCGCCTTATTAGTTTCTCTCCAGCATGCAGTCGACCGTATTTCCAATTGGGCCACCACACGTGGGTTTAAATTTTCCAGCACTAAAACCCACCAAATTACTTTCACTAGACGCTCTGTCATCTCCGATCATCCTTTGTACCTCTATGGCTCCCGTATCCCTGAACGTGATAGTAAAGTTTCTGGGCCTCCTCTTTGATCGTAGGTTATCCTGGAAACCTCACATTACCTCTCTGAAGGCAACTTGTCACAGCCGGCTGAACCTTCTTAAAACCCTTGCTCATCTTTCATGGGGAGCTGATCGTCGAACCCTCCTTCGCCTACATTCCACCCTTATTTTATCGAAACTTGATTATGGTGACCAGATCTATTCAGTGGCATCTCCTGCTACTCTCTCTAGCCTTAACCCCATTCATCACCAAGGATTACGTTTATGCCTTGGTGCTTTTCGCTCTTCCCCTGTCGAGAGCCTCTATGCAGAAGCGAACGTTCCATCCTTATCCGATCGCCGTGATGCTCATTGCCTTCGCTACTATGTACGCTCTCATGATCTCCGCAATCCTTCCATTTATAGAATGGTCACTGATATTAGTAGACATTTTATTTGTTCGCCAGCCCCTGTTTACTCCGTCCCTTCTCTCTTCGCCTTCATTCGCTCGTCTTCTCTTCAATTACCACCTTTCTATGCACATGTAGCATCTCACTTTTCCCTATCTCCCTGGGAAGTTCCAGCTGTTCGAGTCTGTTCTTTTTCTCTCCCTTGCTCGAAAGCCCAACTGTCTACGGTCGCTTCCCGCTCTCTTTTTCTTGACCACTTTCACTCTCATTCTCATGCCATTGCTGTGTACACAGATGGTTCTAAGTCTTCTGACGGCGTAGGATTCGCAGCAGCGTTTCCGGACAGCGTCGTACAAGGGCATTTACTATCTTCGGCTAGTATTTTTACTGCTGAATTGTATGCCATCCTTACAGCACTTATCCGTATTGCATCTATGCCTGTGTCGTCATTTGTGGTTGTCTCAGACTCCCTTAGTGCTTTACAGGCTATACAGAAATTTGATACACCTCACCCCTTAGTCCTCTGTATCCAACTTTGGCTATGCCGCATCTTTACCAAGCATAAAGATATTGTTTTTTGTTGGGTCCCTAGTCATGTTGACGTACAGGGCAATGAACAGGCAGACACTGCTGCGCGGTCAGCAGTACATGACCTACCAGTTTCATGTAGAGGTATTCCATTTACGGACTATTTTGCTGCAATATCTTCCCAACTTCACACCCGTTGGCAACAACGTTGGTCTACTATGCTCGGCAACAAACTTCAATCTATTAAACCGAGTATAGGTTACTGGCCGTCTTCTTATCACCAGTGTCGAGGTTGGGAGACTACTCTCTCCCGTCTTCGCATTGGCCATACTCGTCTTACTCCTGGATATCTCATGGAGAGGCGCCCTGCTCCTCTCTGTGAGAATTGCCAAGTTCCATTATCAGTCAGCCACATTCTGTTGGACTGCCCACTTTATCAACGAGCACGCAGAATTTACCTCCGTCATCGTCTTCGCTCTGCTACTCTCTCTTTACCTTCCCTTCTCGCTGATGGACCCACCTTTCATCCAGACTCTCATTGACTTTTTGACAACAACTGACTGACTTCACAAATTCTGATACCTTCAGCCCTTTCTACTTCAATCTCTTGCTACCCTCTACCCCCGTACTATCCCCTGCCCCGCTGTTTTCTGTAACCTACTGATCATCCCTCCTCCCTTCTGCCATCCAATACCCTCGCTTCCTTCCCTACCCTGCAGCGCTGTATAGCCCTTGTGGCTTAGCGCTTCTTTTTGATTATAATAATAATTTAGCGGCTTTCTTGGCATCAGTAATGAGAATTTGGATGGGTTCAGGACTAGTAGCTTGATATTGGACACTAAATAATGGGTAAGGCCTTTTCCTACCCCACTCCTTCCCCGTTTGATTTTATTTTATCAGAGAAATAGGGTAAAACTGTGATGAACTAAAAATGGAGGGCAAGTGTAATATTAGGAGAGACTTGGGAGACAACTGATGAGCATAAGCAAATTTGATAATGGTGGGGATGTTTCTCATTTCATGCCGAAAGATATGCTGGGCTCTTAGTCGGGCAAGCACCCGTGGGCAGAGTAGCACCCCTCCCAGAAAAACTGCTCTCCTGTCCCTAGGCACAAACCACAAGTCCTCACCACTGCATTGTGATCAGTTTCTGGGGTGAGGGAGAGTTGCTATCTTGGATAGACATGGTTAGACATGGTTAAAAAAAAAAAAAAAAGCCTTTTAGTTTTTTTTTTTCTTCAGGTCAACATCATATAGGATGTATAAACCTTACAAATAATTTGTAACAATACTGTACAAATACAGTATCATTACCTATTGCATAAAGTCAATCTAGTTATACAAAACTGCTATAAGTTAACCTATCCTTATGATTCAAGATGCCTTTCTGGTAAAATCTGAATCCTCTCAGCATAAGCAACATCTATAAAGTGAGAAGCCTTTCCTTAAAGAGGTATTGGTATAAAGACTTAAGATAGCATACATGGTCTGGGCCTTCCCACATGCTTTCATAATGGGTATTACATTAATGGGAAATGACCAGCAATGTGGAATCTGGGGAGGGGGGGGGTTGTAATAAAGGTATTCAATGAAGGAAAAACTAGCTTTGATTCCTTGGATCAAAAGCCTTTCATTATTATAATCAAAAAAGAAGTGCTAAGCCACAAGGGCTAAAAGCCCTTCAATAACAGGACATGCCATGGAATTTTTTGTAATACAGCTAGGGTATAGTTAGGTTGAAAGGCTGCAACAGACCAATGGCAGTATTACTCTACCTATAAAATTCAGAAACAATTATTGGCAAATTGTTATGAAGGTCTCATGAACTTCAAGGGAGCTACAGGAGTGTGCTGTGTTGCAAGTGAAGAAATTTCTCTAAAGGACCTGGGAAGGGCACTATATTATCAACTGAATTCCAGAAAATGGCACAAGAAACAGGTTAATTTGGCACTTCTCCAGGAGTATAATACTAATTTCAAAACATTCTGGTATCATGAATTATATTAATGTTGGTAGAATTACCAACTGTTGGGTAAAAGGACACAAGCACAACTAAGTGCCACAATAAAATGTCGCATTAGTTGCGCCTGTGTCCTTTTACCTAACATCATGAATTATAACCGATTAATTTTGAGAGGTGTCCTTTTTTTTTTATCCCATTTTATGCATCCTACCAATGGCAGTGGTATTTGAGTGCTACGACTTAAGCTAGGTATGATGCATCCTGATTACCCAGCTGCTGTAGAACTCCACACATGATTTCACGCAAAATCTGCAAATAAAGTTGCAAGTGAATCGTTAAACTTGTCAATATAACATCAGTAATAAATTTTTTGAATACATTTACCCGAGTCGTGTGACCTAACAATGATTACTGCTTCTCTATTCATCCTCATCAATGCTCTACTTGTCATTTGTATGGTGGTAGGTAGTTTTTAACAGCCATCTCTCAAGGTAAGGTGACCCATTCATCATTATTCTCTCAATATTTTGCCAGAAATGTAGACATCACAATTCAGAGCACAAGCGTTTCCTTTTCTACCTCCAGAACCCTAGTCTGGCCAATGTGTACTTACTTCCCCTTCCCCTCCCCCTCCCCATTTTACCTTGTACTCCATCATCCTATCCCTTTCCATCCTGTCTACGTGCACAAACCACCACAACTGATGACCCTGGAAAAAAATCCAATCCTAATCTCTTATGTGTAATGTAATATGTACTGGTGCTCACTAATAGCAGCTGACACGAGCACAGGCAGACAAGTTGAGGGGTGGTGATGAAAGTAGCTGGTGTGAGATAATGATGGGGAAAAGTCATCCAACTAAAAATTTCACATTGCTTGTACAAGAAAGCGTAACAACTAAAGAAAGGTACATGCAAGGAGAGCTGTCTTCATCAGACAGCACCAGTGGTGTCAAAGCATCCTTTGCCACCTATGGAGAGTTTTGATCATTATACCAGATGATCATAAACGTTCAGGATCTTATTCTGATGCAAATTTTTGTTTTCCTCGTTCTGGCCTGCCAGCACTGGGTTTCATATTCTGGTTGATACTTTAGTATTAAAACTACAACAAATGAAGTTATTGTAGACTGAAGTTCATAGTTTGTTGTGCTTTCTTGTCATCTAGTTGCACAGCTATGATGCCAATGGAAACACTGGCTTGTAGTTAAATATTTATTTCAATCCTTTACAATTTTTATTTTTTATAATTCCTGAATACAGTGGACCCCCCGCATAACGATGGCATCACATAGCGATTTTTCCGCATACCGATTACTTTTATCGCAAAATTTTTGCCGCGCATACCGATTAAAAACCCGCTTACCGATTTTCGTCCGAGACGCGTCCAATGTGCCCTCAGCCAGCCTCACATGTGCCGGCCGTCCCATTGTTTACCAGCCAGCCTCCGCGGTAACATCCAAGCATACACTCGGAATATTTCGTATTATTACAGTGTTTTCGGTGCTGTTTCTGGAAAATAAGTGACCATGGGCCCCAAGAAAGCTTCTAGTGCCAACCCTGTGGTAAAAAGGGTGAGAATTAGTATGGAAATTAAGAAAGATTTTGAAGGGTTTGGGGCTAACCCTGAGAAGCCTATGCCAGTTGTGGAATCCATTGTGCCTACTTCAAAGATTAAGGAAATGTGTGCACAGTGGGTTGAACTGCAAACCTTTATAGATGAAAATCACCCTGACACAGCTGTTGCAAGCCATGCTGGTGACTATTTCAATGACAATGTTGTGGCCCATTTTAGACAAATCGTAAAGGAACGGGAGGTACAGAGCTCTATGGACAGATTTGTTGTGCGACAGAGGTCCAGTGACTCTCAAGCTGGTCCTAGTGGCATTAAAAGAAGAAGGGAAGTAACCCCGGAAAAGGACTTGCTACCTCAAGTCGTAATGGAAGGGATTCCCCTTCTAAACAGTAAGAAGATAATGCTCTCCCCTCCTCCCATCCCATCAATCATCACCAGATCTTCAATAAAAGTAAGTGTCATTTAATTGTGCATGCCTTTTTCAGTTTGTGTGTATTAAAATTAACATTTCATGTGGTAAAAAAAATTTTTTTTCATACTTTTGGGCGTCTTGCACGGATTAATTTGATTTCCATTATTTCTTATGGGGAAAATTCATTCGCATAACGATTATTTCGCATAACGATGAGCCCTCTTGCACGGATTAAAATCGTTAACCGGGGGTCCACTGTAGTTCATTCTCACTATTCACTCTCTCCCTTTATATTTACCACAGGTTGTATTATGTATACTGTATGTCTAATATCTGGCTGGTTTCAAGTCCTACTCTTTGAGGCCAAGATGTTGCTGCTAGTGGTTTACATACTTAGTCATTATAACCTGGCTGATCTGGCACTTGTTTCGTGAAGCCATTCTGTAATTTTAAAATGAACAGCCAAGATTTCTCAAAAGACTATGTATATACAGTAAACCCTCTTACACAGTGGCAGTAAAAAGGGATTTTGTTGAACCAATTTAAAAAAAAAATTACCTTTTGTTGTGGATTTCCATCTTTGGCCCAAATTGGGTTTAAGGGTTGAGTGTTTGGTAAGACACTGTTCCTCCTCTCGCGCAGCCTACAGTTCAGTGGCGGCTCGTAACGCCAGTAATACCTATACTATTGTACCACATCAAACTTCTATTTTTAATAATTTTTTATCTTTTGTTGAAAAAAAAAATAAAAAATTTGCTTATAAATACACTGAAAACAACATAAACAGATTTTTCCTGTAATATATTTGTCAGCTGCAAATTATTTTAGCATACGGTTGAGGTCATACGTCTGGCAGTGAGCATCTGGGGGGACTGCAGCTCCTATGGACGAACCGCCATTGCTACAGTTGCATTTTGGGAGCATCATTAGAGCTTATCAAAAGATATTGGAACTTCTTATCACCTCATTTCATTGTTATTAACCATAGTACTGAAGAGGAATACTAGTCATGCTGGAGGTCCTAAGAAGTGTAAATTTGATGGTAATGAAGAAAGTGTTTATTTTAGACATACTGAGAGGTGGCACACATCACCTGTGATGCAAACTATCGACACTTGGTTTGAGAGAATCCACCATCTGTACAATTAGACTGAAAAGAATAGCTTGTACAATGAGTACTGAAGATTGTGACCTAGTGAAGAGAAAGTTAGAGGTCAATACTGTAGGGTACAACAAACCAGAGATACAATAAATATCCTGTAAAGTACACTAGTACAACTGGCAACTTTAGTAGGTTGGTAGACAGCAACCACCCAGGGAAGTACTACCGTCCTGCCAGATGACTGTGAAACAGAAACCTGTAACTGTTTTGCATGATGGTAGGATTGCTGGTTTCTTTTTCTGTCTCATAAACACGCTGGATAACAGGGATATCTTGCTACTCCTACTTACACTTTGGTCACACTTCAGACATGCACATGCATATATATATACATACATCTAGGTTTTTCTCCTTTTTCTAAATAGCTCTTGTTCTTCTTTATTTCTTCTTTTGTCCATGGGGAAGTGGAAAAGAATCTTTCCTCCGTAAGCCATGCGTGTCGTATGAGGCGACTAAAATGCCGGGAGCAATGGGCTAGTAACCCCTTCTCCTGTAGACACTTACTAAAAAAGAGAAGAAGAAAAACTTTATAAAACTGGGATGCTTAAATGTGCGTGGATGTAGTGCGGATGACAAGAAACAGATGATTGCTGATGTTATGAATGAAAAGAAGTTGGATGCCCCTGGCCCTAAGCGAAACAAAGCTGAAGGGGGTAGGAGAGTTTCAGTGGGGGGAAATAAATGGGATTAAATCTGGAGTATCTGAGAGAGTTAGAGCAAAGGAAGGGGTAGCAGTAATGTTAAATGATCAGTTATGGAAGGAAAAAAAGAGAATATGAATGTGTAAATTCAAGAATTATGTGGATTAAAGTAAAGGTTGGATGCGAGAAGTGGGTCATAATAAGCGTGTATGCACCTGGAGAAGAGAGGAATGCAGAGGAGAGAGAGAGATTTTTGGGAGATGTTAAGTGAATGTATAAGAGCCTTTGAACCAAGTGAGAGAGTAATTGTGGTAGGGACCTGAATGCTAAAGTAGGAGAAACTTTTAGAGAGGGTGTGGTAGGTAAATTTGGGGTGCCAGGTGTAAATGATAATGGGAGCCCTTTGATTGAACTTTGTATAGAAAGGGGTTTAGTTATAGGTAATACATATTTTAAGAAAAGAGGAAAAAATAAGTATACAAGATACGATGTAGGGAGAAATGACAGTAGTTTGTTGGATTATGTATTGGTAGATAAAAGACTGTTGAGTAGGCTTCAGGATGTACATGTTTATAGAGGGGCCACAGATATATCAGATCACTTTCTAGTTGTAGCTACACTGAGAGTAAAAGGTAGATGGGATACAAGGAGAATAGAAGCATCAGGGAAGAGAGAGGTGAAGGTTTATAAAAATAAAAGAGGAGGCAGTTGGGGTAAGATATAAACAGCTATTGGAGGATAGATGGGCTAATGAGAGCATAGGCAATGGGGTCGAAGATTTATGGGGTAGGTTTAAAAATGTAGCGTTACAGTGTTCAGCAGAAGTTTGTGGTTACAGGAAAGTGGGTGTGGGAGGGAAGAGGGGCGATTGGTGGAATTTATGATGTAAAGAGAGTAGTAAGGGAGAAAAAGTTAGCATATGAGAAGTTTTTACAAAGTAGAAGTGATGCAAGGAGGGAAGAGTATATGGAGAAAAAGAGAGAGGTTAAGAGAGTGGTGAAGCAATGTAAAAAGAGAGCAAAGAGAGAGTGGGTGAGATGTTATCAACCAAATTTTTTTGAAAATAAGAAAAAGTTTTGGAGTGAGATTAACAAGTTAAGAAAGCCTAGAGAACAAATGGATTTGTCAGTTAAAAATAGGAGAGGAGAGTTATTAAATGGAGAGTTAGAGGTATTGGGAAGATGGAGGGAATATTTTGAGGAATTGTTAAATGTTGATGAAGATAGGGAAGCTGTGATTTCGTGTATAGGGCAAGGAGGAATAACATCTTGTAGGAGTGAGGAAGAGCCAGTTGTGAGTGTGGGGGAAGTTCGTGAGGCAGTAGGTAAAATGAAAGGGGGTAAGGCAGCCGGGATTGATGGGATAAAGATAGAAATGTTAAAAGCAGGTGGGGATATAGTTTTGGAGTGGTTGGTGCAATTATTTAATAAATGTATGGAAGAGGGTAAGGTACCTAGGGTTTGGGCAGAGAGCATGCATAGTTCCTTTGTATAAAGGCAAAGGGGATAAAAGAGAGTGCAAAAATTATAGGGGGATAAGTCTGCTGAGTATACCTGGTAAAGTGTATGGTAGAGTTATTATTGAAAGAATTAAGAGTAAGACGGAGAATAGGATAGCAGATGAACAAGGAGGCTTTAGGAAAGGTAGGGGGTGTGTGGACCAGGTGTTTACAGTGAAACATATAAGTGAACAGTATTTAGATAAGGCTAAAGAGGTCTTTGTGGCATTTATGGATTTGGAAAAGGCATATGACAGGGTGGATAGGGGGGCAATGTGGCAGATGTTGCAAGTGTATGGTGTAGGAGGTAGGTTACTGAAAGCAGTGAAGAGTTTTTACGAGGATAGTGAGGCTCAAGTTAGAGTATGTAGGAAAGAGGGAAATTATTTCCCAGTAAAAGTAGGCCTTAGACAAGGATGTGTGATGTCACCGTGGTTGTTTAATATATTTATAGATGGGGTTGTAAGAGAAGTAAATGCGAGGGTCTTGACAAGAGGCGTGGAGTTAAAAGATAAAGAATCACACACAAAGTGGGAGTTGTCACAGCTGCTCTTTGCTGATGACACTGTGCTCTTGGGAGATTCTGAAGAGAAGTTGCAGAGATTGGTGGATGAATTTGGTAGGGTGTGCAAAAGAAGAAAATTAAAGGTGAATACAGGAAAGAGTAAGGTTATGAGGATAACAAAAAGATTAGGTGATGAAAGATTGAATATCAGATTGGAGGGAGAGAGTATGGAGGAGGTGAATGTATTCAGATATTTGGGAGTGGACGTGTCAGCGGATGGGTCTATGAAAAATGAGGTGAATCATAGAATTGATGAGGGAAAAAGAGTGAGTGGTGCACTTAGGAGTCTGTGGAGACCAGAACTTTGTCCTTGGAGGCAAAGAAGGGAATGTATGAGAGTATAGTTTTACCAACGCTCTTATATGGGTGTGAAGCATGGGTGATGAATGTTGCAGCAAGGAGAAGGTTGGAGGCAGTGGAGATGTCATGTCTGAGGGCAATGTGTGGTGTGAATATAATGCAGAGAATTCGTAGTTTGGAAGTTAGGAGGAGGTGCGGGATTACCAAAACTGTTGTCCAGAGGGCTGAGGAAGGGTTGTTGAGGTGGTTCGGACATGTAGAGAGAATGGAGCGAAACAGAATGACTTCAAGAGTGTATCAGTCTGTAGTGGAAGGAAGGCGGGGTAGGGGTCGGCCTAGGAAAGGTTGGAGAGAGGGGGTAAAGGAGGTTTTGTGTGCGAGGGGCTTGGACTTCCAGCAGGTATGCATGAGTGTGTTTGATAGGAGTGAATGGAGACAAATGGTTTTTAATACTTGACGTGCTGTTGGAGTGTGAGCAAAGTAACATTTATGAAGGGGTTCAGGGAAACCGGCAGGCCGGACTTGAGTCCTGGAGATGGGAAGTACAGTGCCTGCACTCTGAAGGAGGGGTGTTAATGTTGCAGTTTAAAAACTGTAGTGTAAAGCACCCTTCTGGCAAGACAATGATGGAGTGAATGATGGTGAAAGTTTCTTTTTCGGGCCACCCTGCCTTGGTGGGAATCGGCCAGTGTGATAAAAAAAAAAAAAAAATAATAAGAACCCTAGCCATCCACCTCAGCCCAGTAGAGCCACAGCAACTTTTTCCACCCATTGCCAAGTCAACAAGCAACAACTAGACTAAGGAGAGATAAACTGCATTTTGTACTTCATAGAAGGGTCTCAGGAACAAAACTTTATTTTTCCCACAAGCTCCTCAATTAGCATAAAGCTATTTTGATAACATTATTAAATGGTTTACCATCTAATGCAGTCTATTATTTGTAGCATAAACATTTACTATCCTGAACTAGTTAACTTCACTGATATAAGTCCCTAAGCTTAAACAAAATTATGCCATTTTTTTTTTCCCACACGGCCATCTCCCACTGAGGCAGGGTGACCCAAAAACGGATTTTAGATATTACTGTACTAACCTGTGGTTTACAGTGTTCTTCCACCCATGAAATAACAGATCCAGATATCTCAGCAAAATTGTTAGTCGCTATACAATGTTCAAAAGATTGGTAGAGTGAATCCATTACTGCACGAAACTGGAAAAAAAAAAAAAGTTGATTTAACTAAACAGGTAAAATCACCGACATATAAAAACATAGTGAAATAATAAAGGGAAATTTTAACAAAAAAATGCTGACTTAAATGCTTAAAGTACAGTAATAAGCTTAGACTGAGATAATGATGTCTTAATTGTTTTTACACTCATGGGGAAGTCCTACACCTGTAGCAGTCATACATGCATAGGTAATGGGAGGCAATCAGATTCTGATCCAAGGAAATGGAGGCTATTCTCAATTCTCTTGATCAAGAGCCCTTCATCTGCATTAATCCCTAAAGGGTTTATGATATTAATGGCTTGAAGTTGAGCTTGATTGTCTTACTGACACTAAAATGCCACATTCAACATACCACTTGAAATTTAACATCATCAGAAATCTGCTTGCTTAGCTGGCCAGGTTGACTTTGATGAGCAGATACAATTTGTTCATAATTCAGTTTCATGATGGTAAGGGCCACAACTTCCTTCTGTAAGGCAGCCACCTCCTCCTCTTGTTTGCTCTTTTCCTTCTTGAGAAACTGAAGAAAACATTAAACGTATTATAGGTACTAAAGAGAACTATATAGATTTTAAATTTAGTACAGTAAACCCTTGGCTGTTTGGAGTGACATCTAAACTGTCGTATCTAAGCGCCTCTGCAAAGACAGTGATTATGTGTGAATGATGGTTAAAGTGCTGAATAATTAAAGTTTTTTCTTTTTGGGTCACCCTGCTTTGGTGGGAAATGGCTGACATGTTAAAAAAAAAAAAAAAAAAAAGAGATTTAAATGACTAATAGGGGGTAGTGGGTGAATGGTGGATGAAGATAAGATTGTCATGAGCATAACAATAATGGATAATTCTGCACCTGACAGTCTTTGTTTGTTCACTCCAATTCCCACTGAATTGTGCTATATACCTTTATGAAGTTCATTTAACCCTTTGAGGGTTTCGGCCGTACTAGTACGGCTTACGACCCAGGGTTTTTGACGTACTAGTACGCCTAAATTCTAGCGCCCTCAAATCTAGTGGGAGAAAGCTGGTAGGCCTACATATGAAAGAATGGGTCTATGTGGTCAGTGTGGACAGTGTAAACAAAAATCCTGCAGCACACAGTGCATAATGAGAAAAAAAAACTGACCGTTTTTTTGGAATAAAACAGCGACTTTGCACTGTATTTTCGTATGGTATTTATTGTTGTATTCTAGTTTTCTTGGTCTCATTTTATAGAATGGAAGACATGTTACAGAAATTGAGATGATTTTGACTGGTTTTACAATGAAAAGTACCTTGAAATTGAGCTCAAAGTAGCAGAAATGTTCGATTTTTACCGAAGTTCAAAAGTAAACAAATCATGCCAAGGTTCCAATACACGTCAACTGGTGAGTCTAATATTCTTTCGCAAGTGCGCCAATATTATTTATACCATTTTTTACACTAATGCAGTAGTCTGCATAACAGTAAATCTTCTATTTTTTGTGAGAATAAAAATTCAAAGTTTAAAGCAAAAGAATATAAGAGGGGCCTTGAGACGTGACTAATGAACAGAGGAAATGTCATTTTAGTGCCAGGAATGTCTTTCTTGTTTATTCTGGGCCCTATTCGGAAATTGGTATCTTTTGAAATTTGTGTGAAATTGGCAAAATTGCTAAATTCTGACCACTGTACTGGATAGTTGAAATTGATAAATGGGTGGTTTCTTGCACTCATCAATAGAAAAAATGGAGTTCTAGCGAAATATTCATGTTTTTTGTCGACTAGTACAGTGGAATTGGCCGAAAATGGGGCTCAAATTGGGCAAAATCGCTGATGCGTAAACATCGCTGAGACCGCTAACTTCGGGAGAGCATAATTCTGTAAGTTTTCCATCAAATTTCAAACTTTTGGTGCCATTATGATCAGGAAAAGATTCTCTATCTTTTCATAAGAGAAAATTATTTTTTTTTTTAAATTTGGCCGACCCTTAGAACGAGTCTCGGAGAGGGCCTGTCGACCCTCAAAGGGTTAATTGAAGATTTCCTGTATTATATTGAAGCAAGTAAAAATATTACTGTAATTGCAACAGTCTTCATATTATTCCAAAAAAACAACTAAAGTTCTGGAACTGAATTTAATCAAACATTTAGTACAGGTAAGTATCCAAATTTTAAGGTGACTTGAGGCTCAGTGGTAGAGCCTTTAGCTCACAACAAGGGCCCCCTTCACCATCAGTATATAGGTATACAGGTGTTAGTTGACTGTTGAATCACATTCTGGGGATAGGGCTATAGTGTGGAACCTCAAATATCGAACTTTCTTTGGTTCAGAAGGCTGTTCGAGTGCCTTTACCAAATGAATTTATTCCCATGAGGAATAATGTAAATTAGGTTAGTCCATTTCGGAATAATGTAAATTAGGTTAGTCCATTTCAGACCCTCAAAAATACACTTATAAAAGCACTTACAAAAATACACTTACATCAGATCGACATTGAACTGGATCCCCAGCCATGCTGGCATCCGGGGAAATGAGGCGGCAGATGATGCAGCCAAGGCAGCAACAGACTATCCACATGTTGGGATTACTGTCCCAATCAGCCTACGACAGACCAAACTGGTGGCTGCCAGAGCCATGAAACTTATGGGGGAGGTCTTAGGTGATACCCCATCTCAAGAGTGGTACTGAGCAGCGACTCAGGGAGAACACCCTCCATATGTACCGCCATCCATCGGCTTCGTTTGGGCTTTCCCACAGCCAAGATGATGGTAGACAAGGCTGAGGAGATGTGCCAGTACTGTCAGCACGTTGTCCAGCGGCCCCTAACACACTATCTTCTGGAGTGCGAAGTTACTGAGACACTCCGCAGGCAACTAGGAGTGATATTCCCTCCCGAAGAGGACCCAGAGATGACTGCGGCCACACTAGTGTACCATGGAGTCAACGAACCAGACAAGCTGTTACCTGTGATAACGACATCTCCTCCTCGCTAGTGTCCATAGTTAGGAGTACATATGGTGTTGTCGCTTATGAGATGCACCAGTTGAACTGACCAGAAGAGTGCTTGAGCAGCATACATCACATCACTGTAGAAACCTTTCTCCCTCGGGAGCCAGAGACGGGACTACGGTCTTGGAGAACATTATACATACATACACTTACATAATTGGGTGTGTTGGGAGCAGTTCGATTTTTGAGGTTCCACTGTACAGTGGACCCCCACGTTTCGGTGGCCGTGACTTTCGTGGAATCCTACTTTTGGCAACTTTTTTTTTCGTCAAAATAAAGCCTCACGGTTCGTGATTGGCCGTGATTTGTCCGTTGTACGGGACGTGTCCATGCAGCCGGGAGCAGCCAGGCATACACAAAGGTTCCCACACATCAGTGTGGCATGATTTGTGGGCGAGTGACCATCACCCCACGGGTTCATAAAATACATTTCATAATAATCCATTGTTTTTTGTGCTTGCAACTGCTAAATAAGCCAACCTGGGCCCAAGGAAAGCTCATAGTGCCAGCTCTTTGGTAAAGAAGGAAAGAAACAATAGAATTAAAAAAAAAAAAAACTTGTAGCAAAGTACCAAAGTGGAGGAGGAAGAGAGAGGGGAGAATATGCCTTCTTCATTGATTCTACGATATGTACGATACCAAAGCAGCAGGTATCATTAAAGGTTATAGCGCCAGCCAGCGATAAAGTGTAGCATTAACAGTGTAGCAAGTACGTTAAGCAATAGAAAAATGACACGAACGTAACCCTCCAATGTTGTTGGTGTATAGGGCCACTGAACATACACCGCCCTGCTATCTTCCACCAGCCTAAACCTCTGCCAGCGTCTTCTCCATCAAACTAATTAAAATAATATCTCCTCCAAGGTAAGTGTAAATATTTCTTATTTATAAATTAAAGTGTGAAATTTAATCTTTAAAAAAAAATATTTTTTGTTAATACTTTTGGGTGCCTGAAATGGATTAATTGTATTTCCATTATTTCTTATGGGGAAAATGGTTTCACCATTTGTGAATTTCGCCATTCAGCAGACTCTCTGGAATGGATTAATCATGAAACTCGGGGGTCCACTGTACTTCGAAATGAGCTGAGGTAGCCTAATAGCCCTTAGCCAGTAAAGGAGTTGTGATAGGATAACAGCTTTAGCCTGTAAATGAGCTGAAGCAGGATAGCTCTTAGCTTGTAAATGAGATGAAGTATCATAACAGCTAGTAAGAAGATGAGGTAGGATAACGGCTTTTTTTTTTTTTAACGTTGGCCGTTTCCCACCAGACCAGGGTGACCCAAAAAGAAAGAAAAACCCAAAAAGTAAGAAAACACTCTCATTTTCACCATCACTCTGCTTTGCAGAGGCACTCAGATACGACAGCTTAAACGTCTCTCCAAACTGCCAATATCCTGAATCTCTCCTTTGAAGTGCAGGCATCGAACATTTCCAGGACTCAAGCCCGGCTTACTGGTTTCCCTGAATCCCTTCATAAAATATTACCCTGCTTACACTCCAACAGCTCGTCAGGTCCCAAAAACCATTCGTCTCCATTCACTCCTATCTAACACACTTACGTACGCTTGCTTGAAGTCCAAGCCCCTCGCACACAAAACCTCCTTTACCCCCTCCATTCAACCTTTCCTAGGACAGCCCCCTACCCCATCTTCATTCCACTACTGATTGATATGCTCTCTCATAGTACAGTATTTTTTTCTGGACATGCATTAACCATACTGCGCAAGGAATTGCTGTACTAACCAGGATGCTCAGTGCATACACCTTGTATGCAGTGAGATAGACAACCATAATGGGTAGTCATGTGGAAAGTCAGACAAGGTAAATACAGTGGACCCTCGAGTTTCGGCAGCCTCGACTTTCATGAAATTCGACCTTCGGCGAGTTTTTTTGGCAAAATTTGGCCTCGAGTTTCATTAGACTCGTGTTTCAGCGACCGTCCGGCACCCGTCCGCCCGTCACCGCGCACACCAAGCCAGTCTCCCACACCATTCACACTCAGTGTGCCATTGTTTACCAACACGTGACCATCACCCCGCGGGTTCATACAATACATTTCATAATAATCCATTGTTTTTTGTGCTTGCAACTGCTAAATAAGTCATCATGGACCCAAGGAAAGCTAGTGCAAGCCCTTTGGTAAATAAATTGAGGAACACGATCCAGAGGGATTTTGAAGGGTTTGAGGCAGACCCTGTCCCTGCCGACCCTCTGCCTGTTGTGGAAGGTGTTGTGGCATTGGTCAAGTCCATGGGGTTGGAGGTGAGTGACAGGGATGTGGAAGAGTTGGTGGACGACCACAGGGAAGAGCTAACCACTGACGAACTGCAAGAGCTTCAACTGGAACAGCATCAGACCACAGCCAAGGAACTTGCTTCAGAGGAAGAGGAAGAGGAAGAGGGAGTGGATGAGGTGCCTTCTTCAAAGATTAAGGAGATTTGTGCCAAGTGGAATGAGTTGCAAAGTTTTGTTGAAAAGTATCACCCTGACCAAGCTGAAACAAGCCATATCTGCAACACGTACAATGACAGTTTTGTGTCCCACTTCAGGAAAATCTTAAAGAAATGTCAGAAAAAGACCTCTCTGGATAGATATTTTGTGCGACAGGGGTCCAGTGACTCTCAAGTTGTTCCCAGTGGCATTAAAAGAAGGGAAGTAACCCCAGATAAGGACTTGCTACCTAAAGTCCTAATGGAAGGAGATTCTCCTTCCAAACAATAGTGTACACCTTCCTCCTATCCCCTCCTCCCGTCTTCCATCCACCCAGAAGTCTTCAGTAAAGGTAAGTGTAATGTTATTATTATTTTTTATATGCATGTACTTGATTTCTCATTGATTTCAGTACATAAATCTTTATTTAATTTAAAAAAAAAATATTTTATTTTAATATTTTTGGGTGTCTGGAACAGACTGATTTTATTTCCATTATTTCTCATGGGGAAAATGGTTTCGAGTTTCGTGAATTTCGACTTTCAGCAGGCTCTCTGGAAGGGATTAATCACGAAACTCGGGGGTCCACTGTACTCACTAACCTGAATATAGTCAATGCTTTTCTGGAGAACTGTGGCTTTAGACATCTTGTAGCACTGCCCCTGTTCAGTATTTTGACATGTGGGAACAAGATCTTGCAAGGAATCATAGCCTTTGTTGATGGCATTACGACGCTTCTGCTCAGCCTGAGTGTGTGCTTCACGTCGACGTTCCTTATAACTCATCTGGTTACCTCGGTCACTGTCTTCATCATCTGTCACATCTGTTTAAATAAATGACATTATTATTATATTAAGTTTTAATTAATGCAATCTTGTAATTCTTAGGGAATGGTACAACCTAGAAAAATGTAAGATTATTTTATTCCGCTTCTTAATTTAATTACAATACAGTAATTTATACAGAAGATTAATCTGAAGGAAAGAGGTAAAAAATTATTTTTAATTTTAAAAATTCTGTGCTTTATCTTCTAAAGTTTACCTGTTGATAAAACTGCAGATCATCACCCATGTTGGCCTTATCAATCAGGCTGTTAGGTCTCACTGCATGCAGTACAAAGTATGCACAGCCTAACTGATCAAGAACTGTTAAGAAGAACTTGACAAGTTCCCTCTTGCAGACAGTTTGAGTTTCATTAATAATTTACATTACATTTGAAGGGCAAATAATGAAAAGTCTTATAACTTTTATACTTACAAGTTTCTCTTCATGTATTTATTGCACTTCTTTTTGCAGTGCTTTATGATCCTTGTGGGTTTAGCACTTAGTTAAGATTATAATAATAAATAATACACTTCTTATCATTGGGGTGCAAATACCAGGCTTCTCATTCTTGTACAGGCTAAGAGAAGCTATTCTACCTTAGTGCATATCTAAGATATGCATATCTTAAATATACTTCCCAGCATATCTAAGATATACTACCACCCCACGGATGCAACTCCCAACAGTCAGTTAACAACCAGGTACCTACTTACTGTTATTCTGTAGGAAAAAAATGCTAATTCCTCATTTCTTCAAATATTCAGTATTTTACTCCAGGTCACAGGAGCAGCAGGTGTAAGGAAACATGCCCAACACTTCCCCCTGTGCTAGGGATTGAATCACACACACTCAGTATGAGAGCTGAGTGCACTCCCAATTGAGCCACAACTGACTAAGCATACCCAATTATTTAGGTAGTGAAATTTCTCAGTACACTCTCCAGATCCACAATATTGCTTGCCTTGAACAGGGTTGTTGTGCACAGCAATATTCCATCACACAGAGTACAAGTGTATTTCTGTGATGGGTTTCTCCTCCCTCTTATTCTTGCTTTTATTCTTATTCTCTCTTTACTCAGTGCAAGTACAAAAAAAAAATCCATAGAAATGAAGATGCATCACACTGATCAATTAATGGTAAGTGGCAGGGCCCAAGAGCTATAGCCTGATCTCAACAAATACTTCTGAAAGACAGAATCACAATTTTGAATTTTATATATAGATTTAATTACTTAACGCATTGGCCATCTCCCACTGAGGTATATTTGCTTTAGTATGGTTGTGTGCGTGCGTGCGTGCGTGCTGTGTGTGTGTGTGTGTGTGTGTGTGTGTGTGTGTGTGTGTGTGTGTGTGTGTGTGTGTGTGTGTGTGTGTGTACTCACCTATTTGTGGTTGCAGGGGTCGAGTCCTAGCTCCTGGCCCCACCTCTTCACTGATCGCTACTGGATCCTCTCTCTCTCTGCTTCCTGAGCTTTGTCATACCTCTTCTTAAAACTATGTATGGTTCCTGCCTCCACTACTTCGCTTGCTAGGCTATTCCACTTGCTGACAACTCTATGACTGAAGAAATACTTCCTAACGTCCCTGTGACTCGTCTGAGTCTTCAGCTTCCAGTTGTGACCCCTTGTCCCTGTGTCCCCTCTCTGGAACATCCTATCTCTGTCCACCTTGTCTATTCCCCGCAGTATCTTGTATGTCGTTATCATGTCTCCCCTGACCCTTCTGTCCTCCAGTGTCGTCAGTCCGATTTCCCTTAACCTTTCCTCGTACGACATTCCCTTGAGCTCTGGGACTAGCCTTGTTGCAAACCTTTGTACTTTCTCTAACTTCTTGACATGCTTGACCAGGTGTGGGTTCCAGACTGGTGCTGCATACTCCAGTATGGGCCTAACATACACAGTGTACAGTGTCTTGAACGATTCCTTATTAAGGTATTGGAACGCTATTCTCAGGTTTGCCAGGCGCCCGTATGCTGCAGCGGTTATTTGGTTGATGTGTGCCTCCGGTGATGTGCTCGGTGTTAAGGTCACCCCAAGGTCTTTCTCCCTGAGTGAGGTCTGTAGTCTTTGTCCACCTAGCCTATACTCTGTCTGCGGTCTTCTTTGCCCCTCCCCAATCTTCATGACTTTGCATTTGGCTGGATTGATTTCGAGAAGCCAGTTGCTGGACCACATGTCCAGCCTGTCCAGGTCTCTTTGCAGTCCTGCTTCATCCTCGTCCGATTTAATTCTTCTCATCAACTTCACGTCATCTGCGAACAGGGACACTTCAGAGTCTATTCCTTCCATCATGTCGTTCACACATATCAAAAATAGCACTGGTCCTAGAACTGACCCCTGTGGGACCCCGCTCGTAACAGGCGCCCACTGTGATACCTCTTCACGTACCATGACTCGTTGCTGCCTCCCTGTCAGGTATTCCCTTATCCATTGCAGTGCCCTCCCTTTTACGTGCGCCTGATCCTCCAGCTTCTGTACTAATCTCTTGTGGGGAACTGTGTCAAAGGCCTTCCTGCAGTCTAGGAAAACGCAATCTACCCACCCCTCTCTCTCGTGTCTTACTTCTGTTACCTTTTCATAAAACTCCAGGAGGTTTGTGATACAAGATTTGCCTTCCATGAACCCATGCTGGTTTTCATTTACAATCTTGTTCCTTTCCGGGTGTTGGACCACTCTCCTCCTGATAATCTTCTCCATGGCTTTGCACACAATACATGTCAGAGACACAGGTCTGTAGTTTAGTGCCTCGTTTCTGTTTCCTTTCTTAAATATGGGGACTACATTAGCTGTCTTCCATTTCTCAGGTAGTTGCCCAGTTTCAAGGGATGTGTTGAAGATTGTGGTTAGAGGCACGCACAGCATCTCTGCTCCTTCTCTAAGGACCCATGGGGAGATGTTGTCCGGTCCCATCGCCTTTGAGGTGTCAAGGTCACTTAAGAGCTTCTTCACCTCCTCCTCAGTTGTTCGTATGTCATCCAACACTTGTTGGTATATTCCCTCTTGATGTTCCCTTCTGTGCTGTCTTCCCACAGCCCTTCCTGTCTCTACTGTAAAAACTTCCTTAAATCTCCTGTTCAGCTCCTCACATACCTCCTGATCATTTCTTGTGAGTTCTCCACCTTCTGTCCTTAATCTGATCACCTGGTCTTTGACTGTTGTCTTCCTCCTGATGTGGCTATACAACAGTTTCGGGTCAGTCTTGATTCTCGATGCTATGTCATTTTCATACTGTCGCTGGGTCTCCCTCCTTACCTGTGCGTACTCATTCCTGGCTCTGCGACTGATCTCCCTATTTTCGTGTGTTCTCTGCCTTCTGTACTTTTTCCATTCTCTATTGCATTTTGTTTTTGCCTCCTTACACCGTCGGGTAAACCAGGGGCTCGTTCTGGTCTTCCCGTTGTTACTGTTGCCCTTGGGAATAAACCTTTCCACTGCCTCCTTGCATTTTGTTGTTACATATTCCATCATTTCATTTACTGGCTTTCCTGCCAGTTCTCTGTCCCACTGGACCTCCCGCAGGAAGTTCTTCAACCCTATGTAGTCCCCTCTTTTATAGTCAGGCTTTTCCCATTCAACTCCTGTTATTCTCTCCACTTGCAGCTCTACTATGTATTCAAAGCACAGAACCACGTGGTCGCTAGCTCCTAGGGGACTCTCATACTTGATGTCCTCAATATCTGAGCTGCCCAGGGTGAACACAAGGTCCAATCTTGCTGGTTCATCCTCCCCTCTCACTCTGGTAGTGTCCTTAACATGTTGGTGCATGAGGTTTTCCAGCACCACGTCCAACATCCTGGCTCTCCATGTTTCGGGACCCCCATGTGGCTCCAGGTTTTCCCAGTCAATCTCCCTGTGGTTGAAATCCCCCATAACCAGCAACTTTGCTCTGCTGGAGTGAGCTCTTCTTGCCACCTCAGCAAGTGTGTCCACCATTGCTCTGTTGCTCTCTTCATATTCCTCTCTTGGCCTCCTGCAGTTCTGTGGTGGATTATACATCACTGCAATGACCACTTTGTGTTCCCCAGACTGAAGTGTACCTGCTATGTAGTCTCTTTCTCCCGTCTCATCTATTCCTTCCATTTTCTCGAATTTCCATTTGTTTTTTATGAGCAGAGCAACCCCACCTCCCCCCCCCTGCCCCTTCTATCTTTCCTCATGATCTGGTATCCTGGTGGGAAGATTGCATCTGTTATTGTCTCCATGAGTTTTGTTTCTGTAACTGCTATGATGTCTGGGGACTTCTCATTGATTCTTTCTTGCCATTCCTCATGTTTATTCGTTAATCCATCTGCATTTGTGTACCAAACCTTCAACTTCTGTTCTAATACTGTAACTGTGGTGCGGGGGTGGAAACAGAGGGATCGGTGTGTGATGGTTGGTTTGGATTGTTCAGTTGCCTTGGGGGTGTCGTGGCTGGAGTCCTTCTGCAGGTGTTTCTGGGGGGTGCGCTTGTCCTTCCATTTGATCCTGGATTATTCTGCTCTCCTTTTTCATTTCCTCCCATTTCTCCTTTCGTTTTTGAACTCTCTCTTTCATTGTCTTCCTTTCGTCCTGTGTTCTGTCTCGATCGAGGTACATGTATATGTGTGTATATGTATGTATGCGTGCACTCTGTTACAGTTTTCAAGGAAGACTTGTAGGGCAGGGTATTAGAGTTCAGACTCCTGAGATGAATTTAAATTGTACCATATTTAAAAAGTTTAGAGATTTAAACAAAACCATAGAGCTTTATCCATAGTTTGAGTTTGTAATGGTTCTGACAGCTGCCTTTTGTTGAGTGATGATTGGACTGAGGTGGGTCACTGATGAAGATCCTCAAGCACAAAATTCATATGCGAGGTCAGAGTAAAAGAGAGATATTAAGAGTTAACAGCACAGATTGGGGAATATAAGAGTGAATTTCAGAAAGTATACCAGCTGTTTTTAAAACTTTTTTTTTTAGTTATGTGCTTAATATGAACTCTAAACATTAATTTGCTGTCAATGGATAGGTGATATTA